TATATATGTAAACAGATATTTATAAGAGCACACTTATTTAATGGGCTCTTTGTTAGTAAACATAGGTGAATGATTTCCAATTGACTCAGTTTGGTTGACAATAATAAAAAGATGTTCACGTTGGAAGAAAAATTAAATATATGGATGACCAACTTTTTAGAAATGAAATAAAACTGCCTTGTATAGGACACTTCATAATGGATGACATAATAAACTAAACTTCATATACTAGATCGCTAACTTACAAGTGTGTTAGCATTTCTATTGAGTGCGCTCTTTCACTGCTCATAGCATGTGTTACCTGCCTTCCATAAAAGAACATATGAAAATAAACATAGCTCCAGTTTAACACTATAATGTACCAAGCAGTTTTTTGCCTCTGTATAATTAAATATAATTTACAAATGCAATAATGACTGCCCCAACATATGGTATAAATGCCTTGTGATTCATTTAGTATATGACATTATTATCTCTCTCACAATTCCATATATGCCAGTGGGTGGGACTCATTATGCCAGTGGGTGGTGGTACTCAGTGGGTCAGTTATTCAATTATCAATAAAATGTTTGATTTATTTACACCTTTTTCTATATTATTTACTCTATCGTTTATAATTTTTTCTAGTTTTTTTCTAGTTCTGACAGTGAAATTGCTCTGAATAAACAGATTGAGGGGTTTAGAGTGATTTTGGAATTTTAATTAGCGCATTAATAGGGGTCCCCTGAGTTTTGCTTAGTGACCTAAGCCACTAGGTTCTGCTATGGATATTACTCTTCAAATTAGTCTTACTCATGCTTCAATCCCTTCAAAAATTACTATCTGTGACAAGCCAGGGCCTCACGCACATTATATTTAATTTATAGCACTGGAAACTTGACATTGCAGCCCAATCATATTCGAAACCAAAGTGCAAAAAAAATTTAACATTGCCTTAACGCAAAATGGATGCAGAGTAAGATCTCATAGCACATCACATTTCACACTAGAAAAAGTGCAGTTGTGTTGTTTACAATGTAACCTAACCTATTACAGTAGCTTTTGGCTTACGACTAACATTTACTTTACACTATACAACAAATCGGGTGACGTGGTATTACAGTGGGTAGCGATGTCACCTAACAGCAAGAAGGTTGCTGGTTCTAGCCTTAGCTAAGTCAGTTGGCATGTCTGTGTGGAGTTTGCATGTTCTTCCCTTGTTCGGGTGGGTTTTCTTCGGGTGCTCCGGTTTCCCCCACTCTGAAGACGCTATTGGGTGAGCTAAAATTGTCTAAAGTGTATGAGAGTGTGTGTGTGTGTGTGTGTGTGTGTGTGTGTGTGTGTGTGTGTGTGTGTGTGTGTGTGTGTGTGTGTGTGTGTGTGTGTGTGTGAATGAGAGTGTACGATGTTTCCCAGTGATTGGTTGCAACTGGAAGAGCATCTGCTACGTAAAACATATGCTGGATAAGTTGGCGGTTCATTCCGCTATGGCGACCCAAGATTAATAAAGGAATTAAGCTGAAAAGAAAATGAATGAATGCACAACAAATCGATTTTTAAACATTTCTAAAACAAACCACTCTAATGTGGAATCTGTAAAAAATAAAGGACAGCTTTTTTCTAATTTTTCTGTCACTGCTAAAAAAATGTATGTAACATTTTGAGTAAACATGACCAGATGCAAACCCACTCTTTATGCATGACTCATTAAATCAATAACTCTAATGTTTTGTGTAAAATGCTGATAAATTCAAGAATGAAATACTACTCATGTGTATTGCTTGAAGATGCACCAAAACTAACTCTTCTGTGTTCTTTTTGTTGCCACTTTTCTATAATAATGTGTTTCTAATATAATTAATACATTTAGATAATTCTAAAAAGTTATATTACCAAATATTTACTCTTTTTTTTTGTTTGCATCTGCTGCTCTCCTCTTGACACTGTCAGTGAATCCTTTTCTATTCAAGCATGGGGGATGGAAAATATCCATACATGTAACACCCACACCATCCCCCTCAGCGAGCACCAGCACAGAGCTAGAAGTCATCTTACAAGTCCATACTCAAAAGCAATAACCAGATTGGTTATTTGGAGAAGTGGACCAGAGATAGATATCACTAGAGATTAACAAATATCACTAGAGATAATATCACATCACATGTGTCCTACTGACCTATATGGCTGCTGTTATAGTGTTGAGAAGACCAGAGGGTGAATGACAGGGCCGCAAACTGCCCTCCAGTTCTGCTGCTAATGATTCAACACACTGCCTTTAGTCAGTCAATGAACAGTGTTGGAGTAATGAGGTAGAGAAAGGTGAGGAGATATTGGAGGTGAAAGTTGAGGACTGGGGGAGGAGCAGAGGTGGCCATTGTATATTCCTTCATACTCTGTACACGAGTGAAATGGGAAAAAATTTATTTTTAAATGTTTGTACAACATGCCAGTGATTTGGCCTGATGCATGCTGTCCTGGCTTATGCCAGTCAAAACCATTTTAGATTACTTTTAGTTACAGATAACTTTTTCACTTTCAAAATGGATTTAATTCAAGTTGAGCTTAATTAAAAGCATTCATTACCTATTATGTATATATATATATATATATATATATATATATATTTTTTTTTTTAAACTAAGAAACACAGCAAGACACGTACAATGAATGTAAACTAATAAGGTTAATCTCGGGAAGATTCAAATAGGAAGTTTCCATACTAAAATCATTCATGGTTTGGGACATCTATTGACTGTGTGACAATGTTTTACTTTTATTAATGAAAAGGTAGGATGAGTAAAAATAAATAATAAAGGTATGTTTTCAATTATAATTTGAATTCTGTTAATCTGTCATCCTATAAATAACCCATTAGCAATTGCTGCATTGTGATGTCAATGACCTCAGTGCATTAATACATTACCCAGTAGTTCAACAATAATGAGACATGTACACATGATGAAAGCGGCTTTACATATTTGTATAGCTATGACTATCCAGATGAACATTTGGGGTCTAGTAATGCAGGCAGGTTAATAATTATGACTTCAACTGTACATTAAATTTGAAAATAAATTATATCTTTAATATCAATCTTGCTTCTACACAAACACATCAATATTGATACATCCTGTATATTGACATACATTTTAATATCATGAAAAAATAAATATCCTCTTAGGTTAAAAGATTACTGGTATGAATACACATTTGATCTCCTTTAAGTAGGAAATATAAGGCATGCACACACATTCTTACTACTTCAACTTTCTCCATTAAGATATTATGTTGTGGATGTGACCCTTTAGAAATATCCCAATCGGAGTTCTCTGTAGGAGTCTCTATGTAAACCTCAATGGTTCATTCTTTATGCTCAGGGGGCAGCAAGACCTCACTTCAAGGGTTCAGGCCCCACGCTGTGCGTTACTTTCTCAGCTCAGGGGAAGAATGATAATGTCCTCCACCAGATAAGTTCCATGACAATTCCTTTAACGTCTTTTCAATATGTCATAGCTGATTGGTCTTTCTATAAATGACCTTTCTATAAAAGATCTTAGAAGCTGAACAGAGATCAGTAGTTGTATATAGTCTGTGATGATGAAGGCAGGAAAAGCTGATATGGGAACAATTATTAAAACCACACACCGCTGGGCCTCAAGCAATTCACTTATGTCTGCTTCTATCTTTTTGTTTGGTCTTGAGTGGAATTCATCATGTCCAGCTATTTTACGAGCATAAGTCATTACACAAAGAACATTGGAAAAGTAGCAAAATACAAAATGTATCAGAATCTTTTGGATTATTTCGTTATTTCTGTAATTCTAGATATTTGTGCTGCTTTATCACTAAAATTGCATAACTGAATGATGTCATTACTGACCTGGTTTTGTTAAAAAATATGACAAAAATATGAAAAGTGAACAAAGAAGATATACTTGAAATGGTTATTGATAATGACAAACATTCCCAAATGTTTCCTTAAATTTGAGAACAAACTATTTTACCAAATGTCTTCTGTAGGCATACAACAGAATACTCTGTCCAGAGGGGGGCGTCAATAATAAAGCTAATAAGAAGTGTGTAAATAATGCCGACACGATCAAGCGACAAGCACCTCCTCTTGTTTGTTTTCGGTCGGTAAATTGATTTGTTAGCGTTAATTATAGGGTCAGGATGCTTCTGAAAATAAATTTTCACAGCACAACTTTATCTATTCAAACACCAACTTGTTCCATCGTCACCTTTGACCGCTCAACGCTTGTTATATTCTTTATCCTGCTGCCCTGTGAAATCCAGAGAGTGCTGAAGCCCTCAGATGTCGTTGTTCCCGCATGGATTACAGAAAGGCAGATGGACAGCAGGTCGTGGCCTGCGCAAACCCCCTCCCCCGTGCTTTTGTCGGGAATAAGAATGTTTAAAGCACTCCCTCTATGCGCGTCTCCTTCTTCACGCACGTTGTTATCGCAACAATATTTTACATAAATTAAAATAATAGAAATAGCATAGTATTTGACATGTGACACCTAAAATGAAGTGCGCTATTTAAAAATGAATGTGCTAAAATTAGGCTAAACTTTATGATTACGCACAGCATCTTGGCCAAGAAAATCTCATTTATACCGTTTTTGTTATTGTACAGTCCCAGTCCTCAAATGATGGAGCAAGCTATTTATCAAGAATTAGACTAGGATAAATTAAATTTAATAGGCTATCGCGGTTTAGATTTAATATTATTACTTTTTAAGTATTGATAAGTTTTTTTTTTTTTGCTACTTTAAATAATTTAATACCACTATTAAATACAAATTTGGAATAAATTGTACTGATAATTAATTTTTTTTGATAAGCCTATCATTTGACACCAGATTGCTGTGAACATAAATATGTGTACTGATATGTAGACTGGTTATGTCTCAAAGTTAGAAACATTAATGGAAATTATTGTTACAAATGCAACATTCATTCCATTCCTCATCTGAGCTAGACGCTTTACCTGTTGTTGTGACGTAGAACACGGGGCGGGGCACGCCAGGATTTGACTGGATTCTGGTTGCCTGATGGAGATTACTGAGACGGCAGGAAAACATTCGCGCTTTTGCTTTTCTTTCTCTAAGTGGTACGTTTGGCGTTCTACTGTATATATCTGATAACCCTAAACTGGACCTTTTGCATATCGTTTAATCGGACGGGAATATAAAGTGGTCATACGGGACAATTGAATTTGTGTTCAGCCAGTGCACCGGCTTCAGGATTTGAACCACAGGGTACACGCGCTTCTTTAGCCTCAATCTTGCGAATGACTTGCACATTGGATTTAACTTCAGGAAAGTTTAACATCTTTTCGGAAGTACGTCGATATTGTATCTCCCACATTGTGCGATGTGTTGAATCGCACGGGTGAATATTTTCAAGAATTAAAAAACAACAACGTGGAGCTTTTAAATTTCTGTTCTATGTGGATTACAAGAATATGCTGACATTAATTTAGTAAACACATTCATATGATCTTGCGTATCTTCACTGCGCTTAGTCAAATATACAACCTTTTTTGTTATGATGACCTGGAGCTGAGACTGGAAATAAAGGACTCTCGAACTAGCAGAAGAGCGGTTCGGGCTGTTGGAACATGAATTCAGTTACTGGTCTATTTGTTTTAAGTGTGTTGCTGTGTTCAACGTTATCGTCCTGGAGCGCAACTGTCAACAGTAATGGAGGTGAGTTCGGCTCAGATTATTCAGACAATTATAGGCCAATAGCTCCTAGAATTTCTTCTTTGTTTGAAATGTTTGAAACTCAAATAAAATGCCCTGGTAAAATAATGTTTTTTTCTAATATAAACAGAAAAAGCAATTAAAGCGTTGTTTGAAAGTTTTGATTGTCGTAGCTTTTTAATAGTCCAATGCAACGACAGGAAATGTCCTTGAACGTAGTAATTAGGAGGTTGGTGACAACCTGTGCGCTCACACTGTGAAGTTACATGGATAAAATAAACATCAATGCGGGATACTTTTGTGACAGCTGTGTTAATGTTGTTTGTTGTTTAAATATGCATATATTTGTTTAGCTTTAAGATTTGTAGCGACTGTGTTCTACAATAGCTTACATTTCTGGGGCCAGTAGCGTAATTTCAGGGGCAGTCTTGTTTACCACCCAAACCTTGTTATTCTCCCCAGGATGTGTTAATGTAAATGTTTGCTTGCTTATTTACTTTTGTTCTTTTAAATACTTTCTCAGTGCAGTTTGCTTCTTGTGCAGAAAGTGAGACCAGTGTATTTATATATGGGCCACCATGAAACAGCAGTTGACTGTTTGATTCATATTGGAAACTAGACAATGATTTGCTCTTTCCAAAAACATGCTGGTGCTGAAAAAAGTGAAATACCACTGTGATAGTAGGTTAATGGAAAAGCAAACAGAAAACACTTAATCACTCTTAAAGGAGGGACCGGGTATTTTACCCAAAACGGAAAATCCTGTCAGACTCAGCCTACACTTGTAACTGGTGGAACGGTTCACAAATCATTTCACTGTTCTGTGGTCATGGTTTTCGGTTTGATTTTGATATACATTTTAAAATAAAAGTCCATATTGTATACTATAAGACCATGCATCAACATTGCCTCAAAATCTACCATTCACATATTTTTTTGTGAAAAGTCTCTGGGTCATTTAATCTTAAAACTTGAAGATTGAGGTAACTCAATCTTTTTCATATTTTGATTATTTAAGTCTGTGAAAAAGGGTAAATGTTAATTTTAACTGTTAGCCTTAAGCAAATAGTAGCTGAGGAAAAAATATTAACTATGTCAAATATAAAAGAGTAAAGCTGTATATCTATTGCTAGTGCTGTAGCTTATTGAGGTAAAAAAAAAAAGGATTGTTTGCAAATTCTGAACAGGAAAATCATATTAGCAGCTAATGACTATTAAAGTACAATATTTAATTGACTATTTACATTCAACTATTTACAGTCAACACTAGATTACAGTCGGGTAAACAGTAAGGGTAGTTACAATGAGCTAATGTGTGAATATAAAACCAACTTTACCTTAATCCACAGGTGTCAAACTCAGTTCCAAAAGGCTTTCTCTGCACAGTTTAGTTCCAACCCTAATTAAACACACCTGATCAAACTAATTGAGTCATTCAGGCTTGTTTGAAACCTACAGGTAAGTGTGTTGGAGCAGGGTTGGAACTAAATTGTTCTGGGCTTCGGCCCTCCAGGAATTGAGTTTGACACCCCTGCCTTATTCTATAACTTTAACACAGACTCATTTTTATAGGATTGCACCTTTGCCACTTAGTTTTCACTTAGTTGCACTAATTACCGATTATAATAGTCATAATGATTGTTATTATTGATGAATCAATGAATGAGTAAAATAAAATCAACTTATTTGTCTTTGAACCATGCAACATGTAGAACTTTTAACTCACTGTTCTTGTCGCTGGTTCGAGCCTCCGCTGGGTCAGTTGGTGTTTCTGTGTTGATTTTGCTTGTCCTCCTTGTGTTCGCGTGGGTTCCTCCCTGTGCTCCGGTTTTCCCCACAGTCCAAAGACATACGGTACAGGTGAATTGGGTAGGCTAAGTTATCTGTAGTGTGTGTGTATGTTCTTGTGTGTGTGGATTTTTCCCTGAGATGGGTTGCGGCTGGAAGGGCATCCGCTGCGTAAAAACATGCTGGATAAGTTAGCGGTTCATTCCGCTGTGGCGACCCCGGGTTAATAAAGGGACTAAGCCGACAAGAAAATGAATGAATGAATGAATGAATTTGCTATATAAAGACTTGCAGGGTAAGGAAATAGTATAGAAGGAAGTTATTGCAGGTCTTTGTTGCAGATGAAATGGTATAGTAAAATTTTTTTTCTACGGTATTTAGATGTTTAAGATAAATTTAGCACTTACCTAGAGCATAGCAACTACTAAAATGTTTACAATTGAATCAATACACTCTATGACATTTTTAATGAGACATTGAGATGTGTCAAGCACTTTATGAGCAGATTCTTGTTGACTTTGTCGTTATTATAAAAAGAGCCTAAAATGGACCTAAGAATAAAATGCTTTGAAATTTAAAATGGAGTGCACAGGCGATACAGCAGTAAAAACATAAAAAAATGTATAAGTAGACGGGTTTAACAAGGTGAATCTTGTGCCTTGTTTTCAGAAATTGTACTTCCACCTACACATGATCAAGACTTTAACATTCTTCTCAGAGCTCACTCCTACGGAGTTATATGGGCTCCCATACATCAGCAAAAAAAGACATTTTGTGCTGCATTTCTTACAAAGGGGCAATGCGTTAAATGTCAAATCTAACGTAAGCAGGCTCATGAGAGCAGTATTAATATTGTGGTATAACAGTTTTACTGTCCTAAGTTTGTAACAGAAGACTGGAGTTTTTGTATCCTGGATTTTGTCAAATTCTTGACCTTTAGCTTAGTTTCCCAATTCATAAAGCATTTTCGTTGACACAAGGTGCATGATTTGTCTGATTCTGTTTTCTGTTTTCGCAAGCATAGCAGGCCTTTTACTTTAGCAAGTTCACATAACAACTGTTTATCTGTTCCTTAGTGCTGTGTTTGGCGTTTTTAGGTGCAAAGATGCATTCTGTATAAATGTCTCCTAAATTTGCGCACGCGGTGAGTATTTTGCAGTGAAAACAATGAAAATGTATGCACAACAGTAAACTCCGACTGAATTCTCGTGTCCGCCATCAGCTGTGGCAAAAGTCATTATAACGACACAGATCACAGTGCCCTATTCATGCCAGAGTCCAGCGGAAAAAACAACAACTGATTGACAGGTGGTCATTTGTTTGTAACTTTATTTATTTATGGTTTGGTTATGGGTAAAGCAAAGACCACATGGGTGAGGTAGTGAAAATGGTAGGCTACAATTAAATAATTTGTTATGAATTAATTGATATTAAACAACCACCCCCACCCCCCGCCTATGACGACGATGGCATTGCCCATCGCGATGTTTCGCATTAGACACGATGCCAAATTGTTCAACATCGCCTGACCCCATTTCATATAAGATGTTACAGCAGGCTGTTATACACATCATTGATCTGCAGTTATAATCAAATTCTGTTCAAAGAAAGGTAATGAACATTTATACACATGTATTTATGTGTATAAAGCATATGTTTTGTGAAAAGTGCTTCTTATATGGTATGTGAACGACCTGTACAGCTTTACTGTAGATATTTCCTTGAGTGAGAATGACATCGTCTGAAACTTTCTGTTGTACATCGCGCCCACCAAAAGGGTGGAAATGCAAGCCTGATAAAGGTGCCTCATACTGTACTGTACCACTCAGTGGAAACGGGCCATAAAAAAAGACTCCGTTGGGCCTTTTACACAGATCTTCCAACTAGCTATGGTATAATTTCAATGACAAATGTCGTGAGTGAAAATTACAAGTCAAGATAGCATTCATGCAATATGAGCATGCGAATCTCATTGCTAGCGTGCTGATTTCCTCTGTTTGTGCACAAAACTTCTTGCACGCCCTCAAATATGCACTGCTCAAGCGCAGATTTTCTTGTGCGCTTTTAAATAAATGCTGCTGAAGTGCGATTTAGTGCGTTTATGTAACAAGTATGTCTCCAACATTTATTATTGCTATGAACGTTTCCAATAGACCTACAGAGCGGCATTGATGTGTCCTGAAGGGAAATGGCTATAAACTCCAGAAAGATAAAGGGCTCTATTTTCACGGTCCATGCGCAGAGCGCAAAACGCAGGGCGCAAAGCTTTCAGGGCATGTCAGAATGCATTTTTGCTAATTTAAGGATGGGAAAATCCGCTTTGCGCCGTGGCGCATGGTCTAAAAGGGTTGAGTTTATTTTCTTAACTAGTTATAGGTGTGTTTTGAGAATAAACCAATTAGAGTCTCATCTCACATCCCCTTTAAGAGCCAGCTGCGTCGCGCCAAGAGCGCATTCGCTATTTACATGACATAAAGTAAGTCTAAGTGGAAAAACTGAGCATTTCACAAGCAAACACCAGATTTTTAAACAGAAAACTGTTAAACAGAGCATCTGCTGCTTGAGAATGAGAGATAATCGATCTACTTTCACTTTCGCTCTCGTGGATAGGGAAACCTTTACGCACAGACATCAATTTGTCTATAAATAATTAATTTCGTTTGTTAAGCGCAAATATTTGTTTTAAAAACTATTTCTAAATTCAGTTCTAATTTCCAGCAAACAAATAAATGAACAATAATACCGAAGTGCGAAAACGAAGTTCAAAAACCTGACTTATATTCTAAAACACATGCTGTGCCCCATATGGTCTAAAACCTGCAGATCTAAAATCTAAGCTTGTTTTTAATAAAACAAATATAAATTAGGATATAATAAATGATACTGCTAATAATAATAACATTATACAAAAGCAAATTGTTATGAATGAACTGAAAAAGCCTCCCGAGATGAAGAAGACATAAAAGCTGTGATTTTTCGTATTTATGTAGGCTAGAAAATAATATGTTTTGTAATATTTTAATCCTTTATATTTATATCCTATATCTATTCTTATTATATCCTATATATATATCCTTAATATTTAATTTTTTTCATATATAAAGATATTTGCCTATTTGGTCTAATGAAAAATCTATTTTAGTTTCTCAAAATAGCAACGCACCAGCAGTGCGCCTCAGAACGCCTTCCTTTTTAGACCAGAATGCCTATGGGCA